AAAGGGCCCAAGCTGCAGCCAAGCTGCCCACAGCCTGCCAGGGCACGGAGTTTGCACAACACGGCCCGTGTTTGAGGGAGCCAATAGCCAACCAAGGCCTGACATGAGCAATCCGAAAGCCAACCAAAGCCTGCTAAAGAAGTGTCACACCACCGCCGGATAGTCCCAACGGGGAACAAATGGACCCATAGACCATGGACAGCTGCGCGGACAAATGGTCGGGCTTCAAATGGCACGGTGATGCGCTTTGTGTTTCAGGCGCACATAATGCATCCAAGCAGCCGTTGTTGTTGTTGTCGTCTCATTGGATGCGTTCGTGTCGTTGGTATCGTTCGTGGAGTCATTTCCAGTCCCAAGCGCAGCTGCAGCCATCTCCGCCACAAAATCCGTGCAAATATACCCAATCTCCACTTGGCAATGGGCAGAACAGCCATCTCCTGGCAACATGCGAAGCCAATGCACGTGCAAAGAAGGTCGCGCCGGCATTCGCACACTCATCCAGACTGTCCTGAGACGGTATTGCCATCATCGCAGGCCTCAAAGACTTCTCTATAGCCATCCCCACAAGCGCTGGCTGCTACACAAAGAGCTGCGCTGCTCAGGTCATCCTGCCATCAATCTACCACTCAAATTGCCCCCAAGCACGGCCACAGCAATCAGTCATGCCAAGCACCGCGACACGCAGCCAGCACACCTCACTACACTACCATGCCACCTTGCACCGCACCCAAAATTGCATGAGTGCACCCGCTTGCACCACTCCGCAGCGCCACCACTCACTCCTCCATAGTCAATCCTTGCACACGTCTCTACCAATACTCCTCACCCCAAAAAGCGGTCAGACCGGGTACACGCCTCATTTCTAAACATATTTTCCACCCATATCTGACCACATGTTTTGAGTACATCGGAATACTTATGCTACTTGTGCAGAGTTTCAAGGCAAAAATAAAAATAAAAAATAGCGGGGGGGGGGGGGGGGGGGGGGGGGGAGGGGGGACAGGGTTGGGCTGGGTGGCAGCCCCCCCCATGATGATTGAAAAAGTGGATCGAAAAGTTAGGGGCAAAGAATGTAAAAAAGTGGTTTCGGATGATGATTGAAAAAATGATGCTTCAATTAAAGGCGCGGGGAGGGGGGTTGACGGGGCGGCAGAACCCCCCACGGTGATCGAAAAAAGTGATGATTCAATTAAAGGCAAGTATTCTAAAAAGCCGCGGGGAGGTTGTGGGGGGCGGCAGCCCCCCCGCGCGCGGGGCGGGGGGGGGGCCTGCAGCGCCCCACCCCCCCCACGATGATCGAAAAATGCCGACGACGATCGAAAAAGTGATGTTTCAATTAGGGGCAAACAGTAAAGGGGTACGGATATATTTTGTGTGTTTTTCTCCGTTTTTTCGTTTTTTTGGTTTTTCGTCCGGGCAAATAAAATGTCGTATGTTACAGCATTTTCTCGCGAAATTGACGCATTTTACACTAGCTCGTCAACATGCCCAGCATCGTTTTCAACATCCCCCGCATGTCCGACCAACATCCCTAGCATCACCAACAAATCGTGGGAAACCAAATCCAAAAATGTAGCTGGCGGGTTAACGGGGTGAAAAAAAATGATGCTTCAAACAAGAGGGCATCTCAATCCCAGCCAGAAAAAATAATAAAACAGAGCGGGGGGGGTGGCAGCCCCCCCCCCCCATGATGGTCTGATGATTAGAATAGGGGTGTAATTCGGTCTCTGCAAAAAATAATAATATATAAAGTAAGGGGGGGGGGTTGGGGGGGGGGCAGCCCCCCCCATGATGTTCGAAGAATTGATGATTCAACTAGGGGCGCAATTCATTTAATCTCTGTAGAAAATCTAAAACGTAGCGGGGGGTTTGGGGCTGCCGCCCCATGATGTCGGAAGAAGTGGTGATTCAAGTAGGGGTGCAATGATTCAAGAAAGGGTGTGATAGAATTTAAAAGGCAACGGGAGGGTTGTTCGAAGAAATGCATACATACAGACAGACATGGACTACACAGATTACCCAAAATGTCGTATTTTGCAATATTTTCTCGCGAAATTGGTACTCGAAAAAGTGATGATTCAAACAGGGGTGCAATTCAATCTCTGCCGGGCCAGTAAAGTGTCGTATTTTACAGCATTTTCTTGCGAAATTAACGCATTTTACGCTAGCCCGTCAACATCCCCAGCATCGTGTTCAACATCCCCCGCATGTCCGACCAACATCCCTAACTAACTAACTTGAACTTTAAACAAACTAACTTTGCGAGATCGCCGCAAGCAAAGTCATGATGTAATGTATAGCTACTTGACCTGCGTCGCACCGATTGGTCCATGACCAGTGTCAGTGTCACTCGTGACATGACTCGTGACATGACTCGTGACTCATGCCTCACATCAAACAAACTCGAGCGTTTGGTGCGCCAGCAATCTTGTTTCCTTTTGGGTGTCGCAGGTAGCCCAGCATTACGTTGGAAGGGGCCACCGCATGGTTCCGGTCGGCCAGTCCCATTGTGCTCAACATCATGAGTCGAATCACGATGACTAACAATATAGGGCTGTAGGGCGCGGCGAAGGTTTTCCCCTAGCTGTAGATTGCGGACGCGGACTCGGACTCAGGCAACCCAGGAACACTACCCGACTGCGTGCGAATCGGATCTGTTTCGTCTCATTTGTGAACATAGGACGCTACTCATTGGTGACCATGAGTTTCCATTTAGTAGTGACCGTGTTGCGTAGATGTACGCATGCGTTAAGGTTGCACACACACGGGTGAAAGGTCGGCATGAAGATGTTTGGTAAGGGCTCTGTCAGGGGGAGCAACCCAAGCCTCTGGAGCAAGACGGCATGAGAAGCTCACACTGTGCCTTGCTCAAAGGCAGCGGCCAAAGAATGGCAAGGCGCCGAGCCCGGTCTTTGCTCGAGGCCTTCCCGGCCATTGCGCGACAATTTTCCGGTTTTTTTTCGGGGCCTTCCCGGTCTTTGCGCGACGCCTTCCCGGTCATTGCTCAATGTCTTCCCGGTCTTCTCCCGGAACCTTCCCGGTCTTTGCTCGACGCCTTCCCGGTCCTTCCTCAACGCCTTCCCGGTCTTTCCCCGCAGCCTTCCCGGTCTTTCCCCGCACTCTTCCCGGTCATTGCTCAACGCCTTCCCGGCCCTTCCTCGACGCCTTCCCGGTCTTTCCCCGCAGCCTTCACGGTCATTGCTCGACGCCTTCCCGGCCATTGCTCGACGCCTTCCCGGTCTTCTCCCGGGGCCTCCCCGGTCTTCCCTTGACGCCTTCCCGGCCCTTCCTGGACGCCTTCCCTGACTTCTTCCGGGTCTTTGCTCGACACCTTCCCGGCTCTTCCTCGACGCCTTCGGTCCTTCCTCGACGCCTTCCCGGTATTTCCCCCCAGCCTTCCCGGTCTTTCCCCGCAGCCTCCCCGGTCATTGCTCGACACGTTCCCGGTCTTCTTCCGAGGCCTTCCCGGTCTTTGCTCCACGCCTTCCCGGACCTTCCTCGACGCCTTCCCGGTCCTTCCCCGCAGCCTTCACTGTCATTGCTCGACGCCTTCCCGGTCATTGCTCGACGCCTTCCCGGTCTTGTCCCGGGCTTCCCTTGACGCCTTCCCAGTCCTTCCTGGACGCCTTTGCTCGACCCCGCAGCCTTCCCTGTCTTGTCCCGGGGCCTTCCCAGTCATTGCTCGACATTCCCTGTCTTCTCCCGGCCTTGACGCCTTCCCAGTCCTTCCTGGACGCCTTCCCTGTGCTCTCCCGGGTCTTTGCTCGACCCCGCAGCCTTCCCTGTCTTCTCCCAAAGCCTTCCCAGCCACGGCTCGACACCTTCCCTGTCTTCTCCCGGGGCCTTCCCGAGGCCTTCCCGGTCATTGCTCGACGCCTTCCCGATCTTTTCCGGGGCCTTCCCGGTCTTTGTTCGACGCCTTTCCGGTCTTTCCTCGAAGCCTTGCCAGTCTTTGCTCGACGCCTTCCCGGTCATTGCTCCTCCTATCGGTCTTGTCCCGGGGCCTTCCCGGTCTTGTCCCGGCCTTCCCGGTCTTTGCTCGACGCCTTCCCGGTCCTTCCTCGACGCCTTCCCTGTTTTTTCCCGGGGCCTTCCCGGTCTTTGCTTGACGCCTTCCCGGTCTTTCCCCGCAGCCTTCCCTGTCTTTTCCCGGGCCTTCTCCCGGTCGTTCCTTGCGTTCAGAGTTTCAGAACATTGCAGAGCTTGGGTGCACAACAATCTGGTCAGGAAGGGTGGTCAGTGGGATGGGGGAGGGAGGGAGGGAGGGAGGGAGGGAGGGAGGGAGGGAGGGAGGGAGGGAGGGAGGGAGGGGGAGGGTAGCTAGGGAGGGAGGGAGGGAGGGAGGGAGGGAGGGAGGGAGGGAGGGAGGGAGGGAGGGAGGGAGGGGGGCGGAGGGAGGGAGGGAGGGAGGGAGGGCAGGGAGGGGCAGAAAGAGAGTGGGGCAAAATATTAGGAGAGTGAGAGAGAGACAGAGAGATGTGCTGTGAGAAACATGAAAGAATGAAAGACTAAATGACAGCAACTCAGAGAATACTAGTAGATCAAAAGGAGGGAGAAAAAATGCAAAGAGACAGAGAGAAAGAGTGAAAGAGTGAAAGAGAGAGAGAGAGAGAGAGAGAGAGAGAGAGAGAGAGAGAGAGACTATAAAAGCAAATCAACACAGAAGAGAAAAGAGGGAAGCGAGAAAATGCAGAGAAGGGAGAAAAGAGGAGACAAAAGAAAGGAGATAAGAGTGGACAAGCAGCGTTAGGAAGAGAGCGAGAGAGAGAGAGAGTGTGTGTGTGTGTGAGAGAGGAAGCAAGAGAGAAAGAACGACCAACAGGACAAAGAGAAAAGAGAGGCAAAGGAAAATTTCACAAGAGACATAAGAGAGACACAAAGAAACGAAGACATGCAAAGAGAGCCAAAGAGACCAAGAGGGACAAGGACATGCAATTAAGTACAAGGAGATCAAGGGAGACAAAGAACAAAGACGAGAAATCAAAAGAGATACAGACCAATCATATCCTTCGTTGCGTGCACTCCTTCCACTTGCATGGATTTTGACTTGCGGGCAAGCTGCACAGAAATACGCAGCATCCAAGAAACATTGGCGTCGCGTATGCAAGCAGTATGATTCCAAGCATAGAGCTCGACTCCTGAAGCTGACTGCATGTCTCCTGGGGTATTTGTTTCCTTTTGTTTCAGCTTTCAGCCTCCTGCATCAAGGCCAGAATGGCGCTTCCAAAGCAGGTTGCACCACCCGCTACTCCCATTGCAATGATGGTTTTGAAGAAACCTCAGACTGTCGGCACATGCCAAAAATAAACACGCGAAAGATAGGGACTCACTGAATATCCGCAAGACACACGGCAGAAATGCATTTGCCAAAATCCAAGCATCTAGAGGAGCCCGGCAGTTCAGGCAGAATTGCAGCCACGCAACCCATATTTCCTCCGAACCCTTTGCCAGCGATGCAACGCCCAAACACTCCACAATGATGATCAAAGTTGGCCACCTCAGCGCGCATATTGTGACTTGCCGCCCCCCAGGAGGAAAACACAAACGGAAACCTTTTTCCTCTTTCGGGCTCTATGTTAAGCACTGCGTATTTCCTGTGACGCGCAGATCGCGGCGGTACAACCTTTTCTGAACATGGTCAACCCAAAGCCATGAGAGATGACACTTCTGACAAGTTCTGTGAAACCCGTGCAACCTTTAAGTGGTTCAAAATCTGAAGACCGTCAAAAGGTTCACAATATGTTCTGTAAGTAATATATATATATATATAAGCATGTTTATGTTCCGGGGAGACTGATATTGCATCATGATTCGTCGGGACAGCTTGAAGCGTTTGAGACCGTTTTGGCTCCGGGGATTCGGGTTCTGGTTGGGTTTCTGTGCAATCTTGTGAGTGAGTTGAAAGGTGGATGGAACCTGACGTGGACGTCCTTTGCAAGCGCTGGGACTGGGGCCTTCGCTGGACTTCCATTCGGAGATCATTCGGATGTTTCACTCACAGCAGGCACAAACATAGAACCTGTGTGAGCTGGCAAGGGGTTTTCTATGTCAAAAGCTGTGGTGCTTGGCTTTCGGTCAAAACTGAGGATTTGCTTTTTTGGCGAAATTTCACTCACATAGTATAATCTAGTTTGGGAATCGAAAGAAAATGGGGGCCAGAATAGGTTCTATGTTGAGCAAATCTTCCAACAGCACCATGATCTGACAACACGTCATGATTTGTGACTATGTTAGTGATGTTCCCCATCATCAGCTTCTTCACCCCCGATCCATACATTCGGATTTCGACCACGTCATGTTTGAAGACAAGAGAAGCCCCAATGAGTGCCTGGTGAGGTTCCCTTCAAGCAACACACCATAGAGAAGATTACAACTCCATCAAGGCGTCAGCCTCACTCTGGGGCACCAGCGCAGCGCTGACAAGTTGAGCAATGGTGAAAGTCGGCAAGACCGCCTCGCATTGCACATTCGCTTGACCCTTCGGTGTCCTGCAGCGAATCAGAACGCGGACTGAGCCAAAAGCCATCGTCGAAACAAGCCGAAGTCGTGGTTGCATCTCTGGTGCCTAGCTTCAGTGCCAGGAAAATGACAGTGGAGGCTCGGTAAAGCTACTGAGCGGGCCACGGCGCCACATGCAGCATCGCACGCAGTAGCTGCTCCCGTCCTCTGTGACGTTCCTGAGAAGCGTTTCAAACAGCCAGGGCCTCTTCGATGCGATTCACCAGGCCAAGATTCTGCAAATGATCCAGGGATCTGCCTGCCTGGCAGGAAATGCAATCCAAACCAAACTTGATCGCCAGCCACGGTCTGAATCCTGGCAAAGAAAGCGGCTCGAGGCAGGGGCACCTGAAGAGCTTGCTTGACAGGCTCTGGAATCGGCAAGCAATTTTCCCGAGTGCGCTTCACCACTCCTCGCCAGAGGTACGCTTTGGCTATGGCTGCGGAGAGGCAGGTAGTCGTCAATAGGCGCTAAGTTGTGCTCAATGGGGAAAACCCAGAAAAATGGCAGTCCACCAAAGCGCGCCCATTTAATGTTCGGACCCCATACTCACCTTGTGCCAGCTGACACCGGAAATTGATTCGCAGCCCCCTCTCCTGGATCTCCCCACCACAAGCCAAAGAGACAAATCATGGCCACCAGGGCCTTGGGCAACAAAACGCGAAACGGAGCAAATGGCAAAGCCACATGGCCGTGGGTCAACCATAGGTACCCAAAATGGAATCCTGGCAAATGGCAAAATGGGACGAAACCCTGCGGGTTTGCGGTGGTGCAATTTTGACCCACACCCACATGGCCTCCAGGTGGATGGCCACCACAAAGGTCTGCTGCACGGCCTTCCAAGCATCAGTGTTTTCAGCTTGGGGGTGCGGTCCAAATATGCTGTCACACCTGTCATCAAATTCCAGAGACGAGCTTGAACAGAGGATGATGACAAGCGTAAGGCAAATCAGGGTGTCTTTTTGGTAGTACCCCTTGGGCATTTGGGGAAACCACCGATTTTCGCGTGCGAGTGCGCTGGAAACCACACATTGGTTGCCATTCGCAAGGACCTGTAGGGCATGCAGAATCCTCGGATTGACGCCATCTCAGCAACTGGTGCGCTTTTGAAACCAGCCTGCGGCACATGGCCTTCCAGTCGGTGACTCATCTGGCGCGTGGCTGCCACAAAGCCTGTCACAAGGCCCAGCCTGAGCTTCACGCCATATGCAAAGTATGGACTAAAGGCTAAGGCTGCCACACCAGACTACTGCCGCAGCAGGCTTCAGAGCGCATTTCCCACAAGTTGGGCTCTGGGAGTGGTGGTAGTGATGCAAGCAAGTCATCATCCATGGCGCCACATTATCTTCGCTTCATGTTCTGTTTATGCAAGGATCCCACCTCCTGAAGGACCCCCACCCACTGGCACAAATTCATGTTACAAAACATGGTTTGATCACTGTAAGAAAGGGATGTTTTGCAAACAGAATGCTGCGGCGATATTGTTCAGGCAAAACCCAGCGCCGGCTAACTGGCAAAAAGGCGGTGGTTTGCATGTGTGCTGCGTGTGTGCAACATATGCCGCGGCACAAATCGCATGTCTTACATTTGAACCAAGCTGGTAAACAAGATGCGTGCTTTGCGAAGCAGCACATGCCTTGGAACTTCGCTGTGAAGATTTGGGTGGGCAGCCCCGCCTTCTCGCTGAGCCGCTGAGCAAACTCCTGTCCAAAGAAGCAGCTGGACGCAAGATCGAGTCACATGTCCAAGGGCTCTGCGTACAAGCTGTTGTTCACGCCCACCTCCAAAGCACAGGAGCAATGTGCGAAACAAGCACTGACGCCGAGGATTTGTGTTTCCTTGCATGCGCTGATCAGTCACAGCGACATCTGTCGTCAGTTTCAACTGAGTGGACCACAGATGGGATGCCAAGTCCAGCTGGTTTTCCTTGTAGAGCTCCTTTACCTTGATGAAATAAGCACAGCTCAATGGCAGAAGCAAGCAACACAATTGGAGCGTAATGCGCCAGAGGTGCCTGTCGTGCAAATGTTTGTCGAAGAGACCTGTCTAATTCACTAACACACAAGCCACGTGCGGAGAGATGCAAGAACGGAATGCATTGGCCAGAAACGCCTGCCTTCCTTGGTTTCACTGATGCATCTAGAGCTTGAACCACTTGCACAGCCTCTCAACACACTGCAAAATTGTAGTATGCCAACACAAACACTTGCATGTGAGGTGAAAACAACTGGCTCCACTCTCGCACAACACCCCTGAGTCCTTGGGTATTGCGAGCATGCCAGCCGCAGCAGGAGCAAGACAGCATCTCTCGCAATGTGAGAACCAGCAGCAAGTAGTTGTTTGCAATGTGACATCATCATACCGTGGCGAACAACATGCAACACACTGTCATGTCCACAAAAATACCTAATCCCAGCTACCTGGTCCAAGACGCACTGGCTGCGAAACTGTTCGTGATATGTTCTGTGCTTGACATTGGCGGGACATGTCTTGTTCGTGTTGTGAAGCTGAGCAGCCAAGACAAGAAGTCACTGATGGCCGTCGGGGTGGTTTAACATGGACGCAGGAGCAACATGCGCGTCGTCCTTTTGAGCTCGCCTGAAGTGATCACAAGCCTAAAAGCCGCTCAAGGCCGGATCCCTGAAAAAGTTGGCCATGCAATCGACACTTCACAAAATCTGGCACCACCGTAACTGGATTCTTGCGTCTTGATACCACTTGAAGCAAACACTTGTGAAGCTCAAAGTGGTTCAAGCCCGATTGCTCCTTGTCCGACTCACGTTCCATGGCGGCTGCAACCGCCTGCTTCAATTTGGAATCCTCCAACGCCGGCACGTCATTGACAAAGCCGTTTCTGCTAAGGACTCTCAGATCTCGCAACCCGTCCCAGACCCGACGGCCCTGCCGTTCACTCCACACATGATGGCAGTCATTCTCCGGGCACAATTGCGCTGTAGCATTTAGCACTGATGGCTCCAGAATCCCGAGAAATTTGGCAACTTCAGCCCGCTCAGACTGCGAGTAGCCACAGGAGCCATTGAACAGCTTCAGCACAGCCCGGTGCTTTGAATGTGGTAACCTTGGGCGCGCGCGTGGGGAGAGAGCCATGTCGCCCGCATCATTCAAGTGGCCGAGATGGATTGATAGTTCTGATCGTGTTGCCCTGTGCCAGGGTGACAGATGCTCTTGCCTGCGCATCTCTCGCAAAATGTGAGAGGCTTCATATCCCGAAAGCAGGATGATCGTCTCTATCTCAATCTCATGCAGCACGAGAAACATGTCAACGTTCCGCAACGCATGCGCCTTGTCCTGCGCGCTGCAGTTGTCCTCTACCACCACGCTGTGAAGCCAGTTGCTGGTCACAAAGAGGCACGTGGGCATGTCTCTCAGATCTTGCAATTGCGGCAAGGGCAAGCCACAAGATTCCAACTCACCTGCCGAGATGCCATGTAGGTTGGGATGCCCGTCACTTTTGTGCTTGCAACGGGCCAGGAAACCCGGGCATAAAGCTTGATCCCACTGCCATGGCTGCTCCGTGACAGCTCTGTGGGGTTGAACCGCTGGGAGGCACACGTCCGCTTCAACTTCACGTTCTACCTCCTTCTCTTTCTCCTTTTCCTGTTCCCTCTCCCTTTCTTGCTCCTCATCCATGCATGAAACAAGCACATCCTCAGAAGAAAGAAGCTGCGTCCTCTTCAAATATGCCAACTGGGTTTGGATCACACTCTCTGCATCTTTGCCCCACCGGTGTGCCTCTTGCTCACTGAAATCTGTTGACATCAAGATCTGCTTGGGAGTCTGGTACGCACGGCGAGGAATCTCCTCCACGCCCGGATTTGAGGCCAGTGACTGGCAATACGCAGACAGCATCATATCTTCGGGTTCTCTGCAAAGCTTGGCCAAGCGCCTGACATCGGAGACACTTTTCGAGACCTCCTGCAAGAAGGGCATGCGAGTTGCAAAGGCCGCTCCTTGCAAAGCCCAATTCACAACTGCCAGCCGCAGCTCCTCCGCCGACCTGGCAGTGACCGAGGCCAGAATGAGACCCACGCTCGGCTCGCATGCACCGGCTTCACTTCCCAGCTGCCTTCTCACCTCAACGTCCAAGAAGAGCATAACTCTTTGCCCCAAACCCAGGGAGCGCATGCGCATGCAAGCTTGGACTAGCCTGTCTTTGGTCGTCTTGCGACAGATTGTGACTGCCCCGATCGCAGCCGGAGCAAAGCGGAAGTCGGTTCCGCGGGTGTGCTTGTCATCCAGGTAGGTGAAGCACTCGTGGGCTGGCTGAAGAGGGCTCCTGGCCAAGGGGATGTCCTTCCCGCTTTGGTCCAGCACCATAATCTGATTCTGCTTGTCGAAGTAGATGGCAGCGCGAAATCTCGGGCACAACGCCACTGCAGCCTGTGCAACTTCACGATTCGACATGCCAGTGAGAAGAGCGCCACAGTCAATGAGAACAGACACTGCCGGCGCCGTGTCCGACACCGCGAGGATCTGCTTCAAGATCTCCTGTGGCTCCTTGGCCTGGAGCGTCTTGACTGGTGAAGGGCCGCCCATCTCAGGATCGCACAGGCTCCTGAGCGCATGCCCATCAGTGTGGCGCAGCATCTGGTCCTCGTACTGTCGCACACCCAGTGGCAGCAGCTGCCGGTTGTCCGCCGTCCCCGAGAAGCCCCGAAGACGCCCAGCTGCTAGATCCCAGGCGTTGGCTGAAACCTGCCCGGGCCAAAAGGATATGGGTGGAGTGCAAGGGCTCACGGCGATGACAACTCATGCGCATTCACGCATGCAGGTTATCTACACAGCAGGCAGTTGACTTGTGAGAACAAACTGCAGCAAGCTGAGGCGCCTTGAACGGAAACTGCCGGGTCTCTTCTGGGAAGACAAACTCCTCCAAGAAGTCCTGAATCACCTGCATATTCTTCGCCAGCTTCGACCAAAGAGAATCCACCATGCCCCCATCATCCAGGTCCAACCCCTCCGCCTTCCGCGGCAACTCCAGCCGCCGGGCGACAGCCTTGTCCAGTGTCTCGGTTGCGCAGTCGTCCCTCGAAGCAGCCATCAAGAGCCAGCGGCGGTAACGACGACCCTGCTCCCGGAGTGGCAGGTCCTTCAACCATCCCAGTACTCGTTGGAAGGACTCACGGGTCAAGCCATCCTCCAGGTAGGCACGAAGCGTTAGGGTTATGGCCAAATCGGGATGACTAAACTCGGTTCTCTCACTAGGGGCATCTTTGAATCGGAATGGGACTGCCATTCCACTGCGCCAGGTGATGTTGTCCACTCCGAACTCGACCCTGTGCCTCTTGTGCAAGGCTGAGCGCAGGATGTCACCCGCAAACAGGCCCCTGGCTGTAAGAGCCGCGCATGGCAAGGATGGATTGGCATCGTACTCTCGGATGGATGCAAGGATCTCACTGCACTGCTCTTCTGTCAAGTCAGGATCCAACAAAAGCTTGCTGAGCTTGTCACCTTGGTGATCCACATCTTTCACGAAGTCATCAAGGCAACTCTGGTCTGCTTAGTGCGGCTGTGTAGCGGGCTTGCAAGGAAAGATCCCGAAGGCCACCCAGCTTCTCATGCTCTTCGCTCTGCGTTTCGTGGGATCCAAGCAATCCTTGACAAAGATGAAATGCCATCTCCTTCCAACTTTCGCTGTTTCCTCATCAAGACTCACAGAGCAAGAGTCGCTTCGTTGGGTCTGCGATTGCCTGTTTGAATCGCATGGAAAACAATTGCAGCCCAGGCTCGAGGGAGCTCCACAAAACGCAAGCGCGGGAATTCAGCACCTGTCAATTCCTTGCCACAAGGCAGGGCACTGGCCATCTCGATGGCATGAGACGAGGAAAGGTGCTGAAGAAGCTGCTGCGTCTTCGCCATCTTCCTGACAAGTGACATTCAAAGCTTGAAAGCCCGCCTCCGACCCTTCGATATGCAAGGATTAAAATCTGAGACAAACTGAGGCGAGCGCAGCAAGCGGAAGATCGCAAATGGCACTTTCCAGCGCATCAAGCCTCCGTCCAGTTCCTGCGATCCACAAGAGTTGCTTGGCTGCTAGCTTCTCTGTGTGTCGGAAGTGCTCCACTGCGCTCCCTCACGGCTCATGTCAAGCTCAAGTAAAGCAGCAACACCCGCCTGGCGCGAGCCAAGCGTGTAGATCTGCTCGTTCTGCAATCGCAAGGATTCGTCGACCTCATCGAAGAAATCCACCTCTGCGACTTGCGCGGCACATACTCGAAATAAGGCGCTTGACCTTTCTCGCCCCATGCAACGGCGCCGCATCACTGGCTAGTCTCAGTATGACAATGAGTGCACGCCACGCCACCACAGAATGAAGCCCCTTGCTAAAGACTCCTCACAGCCAGTCATCTACAGGTGCTGACACCGTGTCATGACGCAATCTCATGCAACAAGCGTCCTGCAAACTCAGCGCAAAGCTTTGCTGATTCACCTTTGAGACAGCACTCTCGAAGCTTCAGTTGTAGGCTTCTTGTGGATTCTTCAGCCATGAGCAAGACGCTCCCCGTCCTCCTGAGACAATCAATCAAGTTGCAAAGCATTGAGACTTTCTACTCCTGACAAGGCTACGGCTCTTGCATCTTCTTGCGCATTTGTCGTGGGCAAGACAATCGGCACTCAACACTCACCTGCTGACAAGCAGGCGTGACCTGCGCACTTTGTGACTGGCACTTTCGTTTGCAAACGTTAAGCGGAAAACAGTCCCCGGCAAAATAGCGGAACACGCTTGGTGTACAATGCTGGTTCTAAATTGAAAACCACGGGACAGGTACCACAGGTGTCCTGCATTCCCGGAGTTGGCTCATAAGCGCGTGAACGGATTCTTCGGTGATGATGTTGGTGCGGTCAAAGTGCAGCACATAGACCCTGGAAACTCCAGCCGCAAAAAGGCCGAATTCTGCGAATTTGCAACGAGCTGACCCTAAAAGAAACACAATTTGTCTAGATCGCTCAAACATGCTGACTTGACTTGAGGCAAACAGAACAACGGTTGGGCTTCACCTCCCGGATGGCTTGCCTGCCTATCAAGTTCATAACATGGAAGGACAAGCACTCGATGAGTTGGACGCCAAATGAGGCAAATAGCAGGAATAGTCACGCAAACAACCGACTGGAAACAGACTGCACAGACCAGACGATGCGAACAAGTCTGCGGGAAACAGCACCTCACTTGCACCCCGTCAACCAATAGCCCGCAGTTTCGTTCATTTCCACAGACCAGCCTTCGGCCCAGCATGCCACCGAGGACATTGCGAAGATGGTCGATCGAGCTGTCCAGCAATGATCTCAACAAAACCACCTCATTGCCCGCAGCAACGGCTCAATGACATTCAACCGACAATTCCAACCGTGCGAGAGCCTGGCAAATCAACATTCAGGAACGCGTTGCAGAGCTCTGACCTTGTTCCTCTTGAGACAAGGCGCTCGGACCAGCTGGCTGCCATCGGCCACCGAAGCGCACAGCAAGGGCCTCAAGACAACATCTTTACGCAACAGCCGCATAAAAGCACGGCATGTCGAGCGAATCACTCAATGAAACTTTATTGAGTTGTCATCGGGGCAATACTGAGGCATCAACAATATGACTTTGCTCTTGCCCTCGCCCATGTTCAACTGAAGAACTTGCTTGTCGAAGTTGGACGCCATCATCTTCTTTGCCACATGAAGTTGCACAGGTCGGCACATCAAGCGCTGCTCCCACTCGAACTGCAGCCACTCGCCCGGTTTTGGCTCCGCGCACACCTCTAAAAGGTCGGCCACCTGTCGCTGCAGGGTGGCGCTGATGCCTCCCGCCAACTCCTGCGCCGTGCGGCAAACAGCTGTGACCAGGCCCTGAAGCTGGACAATCTCCCGGACGGCCTGCTGCAGCGGCTCTGGGATGCCCAGCTCTGCCATGTCTGCCGTCCACCGAGGAAATCTGCCAAAGGTCTGATTTTGGAAGAATGGATTCAGGGCCTTCAAGTCTGGATGCTGACCAGGCGGCGCAGCCAGCAAGGCCACAAGGCTCCCCCGCCGCGCTGGCCTGCTTGCATGTGTTGCCTGCAAGGCTTTGAAGGCTTCGCCCATGGCATCCTTCGGCACCGCATCCGTCACTGTCTGAAGAAGACTCTGCCATGACTCTAGGAGCAATTGGTGGAGAGCTGCGGCCTCTTTGCACGCGAGCTCAGCAAAGGACCTTCGGGTTTCATCGCTTTGGAAGATCTGTTTGGCCAACAACTCCGAGCCCTGAGGGCGTGCAAACTCCGCATCCCAACTTTCTTGCAAGCTCCGACACAGCGAGCTTCCCGGACCTTGGCGGAGCTTCCGTTCCACAACAGAGCCAGGTGGGATCACCAATGGAAAACTCAGCCTGCCGACTTTCTCGGCTGGTGGAATGCCAAGCCGCAGTCGACTCGACAGCTCTTCACGCACCTTTTGGAAGCTAGGCAATCCAAGATGTGGAAATGCTTGGCCCGCAATGGGCTGCGCAGCTGCGAGAAGTGCTGACTGCAAACATCCCGGAAACTCCCATTGCGGGCATCGTGCCTGCACACTTTCATACGCTTGGAACAAACGATGCGCCAAGCGCCCTCTGGCCCAGATGCGGGCATTCCTTTCCAGCTTTTCCAGCAAGCTCTCCTGCACGTCCAGCCTGACTCGACTCTGCTGCAAAACATGCTTCAGCTCTGCTGCTGCCGCAGAAAATCCGCCCATTTTTGCTAAATCATCCAAAGCAAAGACCACCTGCTGGTGCAGGGCATCATCACCAGCGCCATCTCGGATCCATGCATGGAGTTTGTCTGACACCGATCCCCATGCATCCGCAATGGCTTGGACTTCTGCCGCCAAGGCTGGTCGATAAGGACTGGCAGCCCTTCTCAGTGGCCAGATCTCATCCTCCTGGGTTGTCTGATAGATCTCCCAGTCTTCTCCGTCCCAAGCTTCGAACATATCATCCAGCTTCTGCACGACTTGCTTCGTCCTCGCAGTCATCTGGGCCTTCAAAACTGCCTGGAACTGAGATTTCACGCAACGAGCTGACCTGCTCGCCACGTGCGCGTGGCAAAATGTGTAGCTCTCCTGCGCCTTCTGGATGATGGGCTGCGTGAATTTATCTGGCGCAATTTGTCTGGCTGTTTTGAACGCGCTGCGTGACCGGAAGGGCATATGATTGGAGGACACGCGATGATTTTCGATCATATCCAACTCCTCATTGAGTTGTTCCTCCTCGACTGTTTCCACTACATGGAAGTAAGCATTGTGGAACTCCCAATTTTGTTGCACTGTCTGCATGATGCCAACTTCTCTGAGTTGCTTCTTCCCGTGCTTCTGCTTTCGCAACATGTCCTTTTCATTGATCGCGCGGCTTTTGTTTTGTTCATAAACCATGCGCTTGCTCTGAATTTGGCGCGCTTCCTGAGCCAAGACACTCAGCCTGTTCTCAAGGTTGGTCCTTTTCATTCGCAAATTCTCAAGTTGTCGCTGGCGGGACTTCAAATCCTTCTCGTACTGCCTCTGCTCATCCCCGCCCACGACTTTGAATCTCACGTCATGGACCACGCTCATCCACCCCTCCTGCGATCGGAATTCCTTGAAACCAGCCTGTAATCTCTCCAAGTCCTTGGCTCGAGTGAATCTGACAAAGCGCCCAGGGCGCTGAATTCAATCTGCACAGGCCTTGCTCTTACATAACTGGATGGCTGTGCTTCTGTGGCCTGCTTGTTGGGCGAAACCAGTCTGCCCTTCTGCAAGATCCCAACCCTGCGCAGATTGTCCAAAATAGAATGGAATTGAAGTCGTTAGGAGGCTCCCGGTGTTGATCTTTGGGGGCTAGTGTCATTGTTTCGGTAAAAAGCACCACGCCCAACAACGACCCTTTGACCTCGGTTGAAGGGGGCCAAGGACGCTCAGATCTTGTTTCCCAAAGCACCCAAAATGTTTGGCCCCCCACCCCGCTGACCCATGGGCGCTGGCCAGGCCTGTCTGACGTGTCTGAGATTGGCCTCAGGCCTAGACACTGGCCCCAGGCCGAGCCCCAGCAAGCCCAGCCCAGCCAGCTCAACCAATCACAGAGGCTACCCATTTCCAGCAGCAGCCACACACACCTTCCAACCAGGACACGCGCGGTGTGTCTGACCCAGCCTAACCCCTGGATCGTTTTCTCAAACGCGCTTCTGGCACTGGCATCCAGGGGTGCAAGACCACTCAGATGTCACTCAGATGTCTTTTCCAAAAAGAATCTTGCCCCTAACCTAGTCGCGCAGCCAAAATCCCCAACACTGTCCTGGAAAGGCTGGCCGATGGTCCAGCGACGCCAGAACCTGTCCGTTCCTGAATCGCCACTGGACCAGCCCTGCTGCTTGCAATCGAACAGACGCTCCGAGGCGGGCAGCGCGCAGCGTTTGCAATTGAGCAATATGGACACATACACCCAGCAAGAGGAACCGCTCCTGGCGCGTGCGACCGACTACGGACAGCCCATCACCCAAAACATGGAGAGGATTTTGGCGCAAGCAAGTGCGCGGCCAGTCATTTAGGACTGTGTGACAGCGCGGGCGCACAGGAACGCAGGTGGGCGCAAGGGAGCGCACTCAAGCTCAGCATGTGCACAGTGTGAGCACGGCACACACGAATTTCGCCCATGACGTCTTGATATAAGGCAATCCCTATCATCGCGCAAGTCAACACACATGTCATGCGCTCTACGCCATGTGTTGATGGCGAATCCCTTAAACCAAATGGCAGCTCCAGCTCAGCCTGATCCAATCACAAAACGACATAACAGTGGGGCTAGAGAAGAACTTAAGAACTTGCCTCTTTTTTGGCATGGTTCGCAACTGGCTTCTGTGCCATTCCTCTGGTACAACTGTCAACTGATTGCAGGGTTTGAACGCATACAACTATTTGCACATCCGCATATCACACATCACTTGCAAATTCCACGCAAACACTGCCAAAGAAATGCACAATGATGTGGAGCGCTAAAAAAGATGCTGCACCCGAGTGCATTCGAGCTTCCATTTTGACCTCCTCGAAATTCTGGCTTGCCACGGACAGCTCAGCGCGAAGAACCGTCTGTTGGGAGCGCACTTCTTGCTCTTCCTGTGTGATCAACAAGTTCTCTTCCGCCAAGCGCAAGCTTACTTCTTGGAGCCTCTCAAGCTCGGCTGTCTCATGCTGCTTGAATTGTTGCCACTGTTGGCTCTCCGCCTTGGTCGGCCGCACACCGGGCTCGTGTCGGCACTCGTCTTCAGAAAGGACAAGAAGACATTGAAATGATCCCAAGTAGGCTGAGATGGACTCAGGCGTGCCCAAATCCGATTGGGACTCATGGAGAATTGCCCGCAAGGCCCATTGGGGCACAGGAGGGAAAGAGGCCGGAAAGTAAGACATTGCCGTTGCGAGCGCAATGTGCCACTGAAGCTCAGTCTTCTGCGCCCCAGAAAGCACGGATGCAAAGCCGAGCGCCGCCCTGAGAGTTCGACGAGTGTCTCCACCACCAAGCGCCAAGCGCCACAAGCAAATCAGCTCGTGTTCTGGAGCCCCCGGAAACTGATGCGGCAAGCCCGCCCAGGCAAGACTATCATCCTCAAACCCTTTGCACATAGGCGACGTCACCTTGCCGTTTGCCCATCGCTGAAGTCCAGCTTGCACTGCTCTGGGCTGTGGAAACTTTTTCCGCGAAAGAGTGGCGTGGTCTGCAAATTGCAAAGCGACTGCTGCTCGCCTGTCCATAACTTCCTTGAATTCGGGCGCAGCACCGAATGCTTGGCCTTCTTCTATCTCATTCAGCAGCCTCCATTCCTGCTGCACACGCCAAAGTCTCATGGCGTACAAAGCAATTGGAGCCGTTGCATGACTGTCCAGCAACACTGGACATGGACTTGCGCAAACAGCTCCAACCCCGAGCCTCGCCCAATCCACGCCGCGTAGCTGCCCGGCACCAATACCTTGTGATCGCGCGACCTGGCATCTGAGTCCTCAGTTCAACAGAAACACCTCGGCAAGAAGGTCAGCGCTCTGAGAAAGGCATACATCTCTCCTATGCTAGGCATTCACCAGGCCGCCAAGAAACACCAGAGTATGCCAGGACTTCTGGGATTCAAGGGCATCCAATGACCTGCCGAGTTGAGAGATAGCGCAACGCGACCATTGTTTTCTTTGGTCGCGAAGCCTCAGAGACTCTCCTCTAGCAAGCTCGGCCAAAACCAGCTTCAGCTCCACGCATTCTCCAGCAGCTTCTGACAGCCTCACCCATCTAATGACAAGCGGCTTGCTGTGCTGATACCAACTAAACATATCTGAGGCCGCAGCCACTGCAACCAACGAGTCTCTTCCTGCACGAAGCTTCAGGCAGCAGCTTGGCAGGTGCATCAAAGCAAAGCCTATTTTTTCTTGCCAAAAACTTTCGGCTGAAGCACTGGCACCGGCCTCGTCAAAGGCTTGATTCCGCCAGCATTGCCGCAGGAGCTCCAGGGATTTCCAGCGGGCAGGGCGCCCGAAAAGAGGCTCAGGCTCTGCACGGCTGCAAGCCCAGAGGACGGAAGCGAGCTGCAGTCGGGCCAGGGGAGTTTCGACTTCCAGGTGGCCGTCCTCCCAATGGATCTTGAAGACAGAGAACTTGCGGCGCGCGCCCTCGAAGTGAACGCCACAGCGGCCATCCACGTCACAAAAGCTGATCTCTCCCTCGGGCATTACCACCAACCCAGGAGTCCTTGCCCAACACTCACAGCCCGCAGGTGACGTTGACTCTTCTTCTAAGAGCAGGAAGCAGTGAAAGCCCCGAAGCATCTGAAGCTGCTGTGTTGGTGCGAGCTGATGGCGGGGAAAATCCAAGGACTTCAATCTCTGACCATGCGGGCCATCACGAAGCTCGAACTTGAGGCCCAGCCGCAGAAGGTGCACTTCCATAAGCCTTCCATTCTGCCCCAAGTACTCCACGAACTCGTGTGGCTCTACCAGGGCCAAGGCCTTCACGAGATGAGTCAATCCAGGCTCGGACGCAAGAAAGACTTGCATCTTGACAATTTCATTGAAGCTGCAGCTCAACGATCCCACATGCCCCGAGAATGTTGCGTACAATTGAAGGCGATACTCACGGCCATCATCAGCGCCTTTTGGTCTGAAGCAAACGCTGCTGTCATGCGGGGAGAACCAATGGGTGTAGTTGTTCACCAAGGCTTTCCTGAGTCCCGTGCCAGACATGCAGCAAGCCGGTAAAAGCGTCAAGGCGGCATCCTCATGCACACGCTTCTCCTGCACCAACAGCTCGTCTCCAAGCAGGCCCAAGATGTACGTCTTGCCTTGCAGTGGCCCCGCTTCATACAGGTTTCCCTCCTTTGCGAGCGGCCAAGCATAGCAGCTCACATCTCCAAAGACTGCCTGAAATCGGGGGTGCTTGCGAATTTCCAAGGGCAATTGGCCCACAGACTTCCCATTGAATAGTAGAATGCCACGTGAAGGATGGACTGCTACAACGCCACCCACAGTCTCAGTTACTCGCCACATATCCGATGGCTGATTCTGAGGGGGCTGCCACATTGATGGGGTTGGGGCCTGCTGGCCTGGCAAAAACTCTGACAGCAGTCCGTCAAGGATGGTACTACCAACCAGCTGGTTCTCATGTAAAAAGCAAACCTCCATCACTGTTTGCATGTCAGATTGGCTCAACAAGTCTCTGCCCGCACAATTCTCCAATTCGATGCGGGCCTTTGCAAGTAGCAGCGCGTCCTCATCGGACAGGACTTTGCAATCTGCTGGCACAAGGCGAAATGACGCAATGTAGCAGGCCAACACTTTGGCAAGTCGTCTGTGCGATGGCTGCGCTGTCCAGCCTTGGTTCTCAGCACGAATAGAACGACGCGCATCCTGCGCCCAAACCTGAAGCACGTCCCGGCAAGTTTGGATGGCCTGAACTGCTGGATGGCTGTTCTTGCAGGCAAACTGGGCCAAATAGCCGGAGCAGACCATCAGGCACGTCAAAGCCGCAATGGATCCTTTCTCTATCTTCAAAGCTTGAAACTGTTCGGGCAAAGCCTTCACACTTGGCCACTCAGCCAGCTCTGCCAGATCCTGCTTGCAAGACCTCCCAAGCAAACAATTCGGCACATCTGCAGGACCAAGTCTGTAGAGAACCTGCTGACACACGGCATTCGCGCGCTCATCTTCAAGTGGAAGTTCCCCGCGGTGCAAGTCCAACAGAAGCCTTCGAATGTGTAGTTCAGGGCGGCTTGCAATAAAGCCTAGACATCTGAACTCAGCTTTGCTCAACCCAGGGAAATGCACCGGCAGCTGGGCTAAGACTTCATTTTCAGAAGGCAGAGCCAAAAACCACTCCTCAGTTTCTGTGGGAAATGTCATGCGGCATAGCTTTGGTGGATTGCCTGGCTGCGGCCAGTTGGTCTCAAATGGGTTCAGCAGTACACCTTGCCAACGCCACAACAATTGCAATCCTTCCAACTCACTGCTCGGCTGATAAAATCCGACACTCTGCTTCACTGGGAGAAAGTAGCTGTCCTCCTGCTTGCCGTCGCGATAGCTTGGGGCGCCATCAGCAAACAGCTCGAAGCGGGCATCTGCACCAAGACTTGGCATGGCATCAGTGGAGAACTCACAAACATGGCTGTGCCAGGAAAAGGGCGGCCGACCTTTCACTTGGCAAGGGTGAGCTGCATCAAAATCCAGCACATGCCGGGCCAAGCAAAAGGAAGAACCAAGCATCGCAAGCTCTTCTGGCAAATTCACGGAGAAGATCACCGCGCGCGCCTCTGCCTCGTGCTCCGACAGCTTGGGCAAGGGCTCCACCTTTGCTGGAAGGGGACGCTCCAAGGACTTCAGCTCTACCTGACGCCGTCTTTTCGCTTCTTCCTGGAAATCCCCCAGCTTTCGCTTGAAGATTTGCGAAGAGACTCTCTGTTTCTTGGCAGGCGGGTGACCCGGTCCTGAATCTGCAAAGGGCTTGTATTGCTCAATTGCAGATGCGACGCTGCTGGCCCAAGCGTCCTTGCGATCCAGTCGCATCTGCCACTCCGTCTCGGCCTTTCGCGCTTTTTGCTCCGCTTGCGCCCAAAGGTCTTTCACTACGGGCAAATGGGAAGTGGCAACCTCCGCAAGGGCCAAGAAGTCATTCAAACCATCCTTGCCTGGCAACAGCAAACGATGTTTCAGGCTTGCTTTACTGGCCAAGTAGGTCTCCACGAGGTGCGCCAATTCCATCCATCGTCTTTCAGGCAGCAACAAATGCTCCAAGACATGGGCTGCGAGCGGAGGAGAAAAATCCTTCAAGACGTATCTCATTGCGTCGCCACTGTGCTCCCGAAGCAACACATCCTGTAAGCACGCTATAGCCCAAGCCACCAAGACGACGCGCGAGCGCCTCAAGGCTGTCCAAGCATGGAGTTCATCACAAACTGTCAGGTACGCTTCCAAGGCGTAAGAGAGCTTGAAGCACAGCGCACGTACTTTGCTGAGCTCCGCCACATGTGCTGAAGGCCACTGTTGAAGTGAGCTGCCAGAAGTCGCGAGATTCAAAATTGCCTCTTCAAATAGCACCACTGCACGCAAGTGATTCTCTTCATCAGCAGAATTCATCCAAAGTGTCACCGCATCCAGCCATTGCAGCAAGCCCTCATCTGCAAGCACTGGAAATTCTTGACACGAAGGATGGAGGCGCGCTTTGTCTGGAAAAGCATCACGCCTTAGGGCAGCATCCACCTTGTTGAGGAAGTCTGAGAGTGAGGCTGGAATGGAAAAGGTTCCCTGCATGGGATGCAGCTTCTGGAGAACTGAGCGCAAATCTGCAGCTTCATTTCGCGACTTCTGCGCAAATGCCACAACGCCTTGCGTTGACATCTTGCTTTTGAGAATCTGCAGCTCAGATCTCACCAAAAAAGCCCACTCATGATCTGAGCTACCCCTGGCTGCCATCTTGCAGAGTTTGCGCGCCACGCCTTGCATGGTGTCCAGCAAGCGATCGTAGAGCACTTCCATTCTGTGACAGTGGCTGGGGTTGCTTTGCGCCCAACTCTGATTATTGAGTTTGTCCTCATCAAAGCATGGTGGAAGCGCAATGTGATCCCATAGTCGGCTTGCTGCCACCACGCTCTTCCCCTCACATGTTCGAAGAAACCGAAGGACGCAAGCAAACCCAGGTTGTGGCAACGATGCCAGGAAGCCGCATGGACTCTGAAAGTATGTCGCAAAGTGGTTGAGCACGCAAAGCTGCACAAACACAATCAAGCGTTTGTAAACATGAGGGAGCCCCAGTCCGTGCACGAGCAAGGCATGCAGACCAAATCGTACATGGCCATATGGCCCCTTCTCAATCATCTTGTGCTGCGACACGATCTTTTGAGGGCAACCCCCCAGATACGGCAGCAGGAAATCGAAGAAGAACATCTCATCGTTCTTCCTGTGAGACTGGAGGTTGACTCTTGGAGAAGCCTTTGCTGCATAAGCCTTTGTTGCTAAGATGCTACACCACTCCACCACTTCAGGCAACAGAAAACACGACCTCTTAATCCACCTGGCTGGATGGCAAGGCACCTGAGCCCAGCGTCCCGTTGTCACGCACTTTGCGAAAGCTCCGCCTTCCAACACCTTCCGCCCAAAACTTCCATATTGGCAGCTACCCGTCAGGCTCACCACTACAATGCCCAATGACTCATCCGGGTCATCCGGTGTGACAGGCCCTTCCGCACCTTCTGCGGGATAGACCAAAACCAATGCCTCTGAAGCCAATATGGGCAGGATCAAAATGCCCCCAGACTTCACCGTCCTCAGCGAAGGCGACGGAAAAAACAAACCAGCAAGTCAGTGTTTCTCTCTCCTATCGACTTTGGGATGGCTTGGTTCGCTGTGAAACGTGCCGACCAGGTCTCGCAGCCACGTGCTCCATCATCGCTGCAGTACTTCTGGATTCATGAATGTCAACGGCGCGGATCCAGGAAGCCAGGGCCCTGGAGAACCTGGGTCAGCACTCGAGAAGCACAAGTGAAACCCTGATCTTTTGCAAGCCAGGGGCTTGCCACTGGCTTCCTTGAGGCCCATCTTGTCCTCCATCCGGAAAGGAGCAATCACCGAGCATCGCGTGGGAACGACTGTGCTCCAACTGGTTTGCAAGATGCACAAGAAGCTGCACAAAAGACATTGCAGTCCTTCACATTGCCAGCTGCTGACTGGAAGCAGTTGTGGAACATTTTTAAAATCTCCTGGATACTGCATTGGTCCGAGGACTCCCCCTGAAGATGAA